GCCGTATTTATCAAACAACTTAAGTCATTAAAAACTTAAGTCAGTTAAAAACTTAGTTTTCACGTTTTTTCCACTTAAGTTTTGTGGTAAAACTTAAGTCATATTTATCAACAGACTTAGACTTAAGTTTTGTCATTTTTGACTTAACTATTAAGACTCATCTTGGTAGGCTTAAATCAACTCTTTTGACTTAAGTCATATAAAACAAAATGGCTGTCACACGTATTCCAAGAGTATTTAATGAAAGAAGAGAAGTTCTGCATACATTAGATGATAATGAGCTGTTACAAAGGTACAGATTTGACAGAAACAGTATTGTTTACATCTGTGATTTACTAGAACACGATCTAAGTCCCGTAACGCATCGGGTTGTGCAGTGTCCTGCGTGTGTGCCAAATGGCATCGGATCCATTCGGCAATTGTCCGGAGAATAAAATCACGAGACACCAAGTCTACCCGTAGCATTCGTAATTGTCCGTGACCTATTCGACTCTTTCCGTTCATTTCCGTGACGTCACAGGAATGACTCGATAAATTTGCACATTGTGCAACAGTGTGGACGTAGCTCAGTCGGTTAGCTGTCGAGCTAACAATCCGAAGGTCGCGGGTTCGCGTCCGACGGGTTCTCACAAACTGGTTGCTTGTCTTAATGACACGTGACCTACGGCAGAGATCGTCCTCACGAGAAGTTGTGGTGCTGTATTCTAAAGTGATAGTAGGCCATGAATTCATTAACAGGCATCACTACCACAGTATTAATACACAGATAGTGATTGACAGCGACGACCGGATCATCGACATCGTAGCACGTTGGCCTGGCTCAACACATGACTCCCGCATCTTGACAACAAGCGGGTTATGTCGGTATTTGAGGGGAACCAGTTACCCGTAAGTTGTCATCTGCTTGGCGACAGCGGCTACCCATGTCGGAGGTGGATTTTAACACCATTTTTGCGTCCCCTTCCTGGATCACAGACAAACTACAACAGGTATAATTGCTATTTCTTCGAGTCAGCTTCGAGTACTAACCAATAGAGTGATTTCCCTTGGTTATGTGAAATACAATCTTCAACATAAAAACGAAATGGAAGACTTACATATCTTTGCTAAATGCATTATTCGGGCAACATGTCGTACAATCATAATGTCTACTTCTTTTGTTGTAAATGCATCTTTGGTGACTTATCAATGAAACAATACGTGTGGGCAAGTAAAGTGTATAATGATATCTCCATTTTGATTTAATACCACCCATAAATATTATATGATCATCTAGTGATTCCAGTTGTATTTATTGCAAATTTTCAGATCACATAAAAACCAGAAACTGTGTGGAAAGAGGTATTGGACAACTGAAGCGGCGGTTTCATGTACTACATGGAGAAATCAGACTTTCCCCACAGAAGGCGTGCAAGGTATAGCATTATCAGAATGTTTTTCTGTGGACTCCATTGAAGTTGAAGTTAAATCATAATTTTAACACATATATGTCCCCAATAATACCCTAAGGACCTAATATGCATCAGGTAGATAAAGAAACCAACACAATTAATAAGATAAACAATAACTTTTATTTAATGAATACATTAACAAATCTCAAACAAGAATGTAAAAAATGTCTACACTTTTTTCAGTCCGTCCTAACATAAACAAGGTGGACAAGTCAGATATATGTGATCTTACTGTCAATAGCACCTCACTCAATATTGACAGATAATTATTGTAATCTAAAGTTCAACTGTAATAAAAATTAGTTATCTCAATAATCATATTTAAAAAGAATCATATTTAAGATGTATAGACAATCAAATATGAGTATACTTATACAGTGATCCTAGGTTTATGAACCCTTAGAGAGGAACATTTTACGTGAAATGTTTTGTGAAATGAAAAAGATATATATTCAAATATCTGAATCGTGGCATTTTCTGCATAGCTACTAAATTAAAGCATAAACATTGCCAGGATCAAATACTCTTAGTGTCAGATTAGTAAGGGTAGGGATTTTACCAAGAAATTATTAGATGTGAAATACATTCATGGAAAGATAATGATTCTAGAAACATTGGTTATGACAAAATAACATTTTTTTAGATGAAGGCCACATTAATTGCTGAATATTAGTGGTTAGGTATTCAACTAAAATCAGTTCCATGGGAGATTTTCTCACTAACATTACATTAAGCTATTATTTGATAAGAAATGAACATCAATTAAAATAGAGTATCAAAACTAAATATTTCTTGGTCAAATACAATAAGTCCTCTACATCCTACTTTTTAATTAAATTGACAGAAATTTCTTGACCATTTATTGTGTCTTGACTATGTTTTTAATATGTCCCTAGGTAATAATTGCTTGTGCAGTGCTGCACAATATCAGCAAGGACAGGAATGTCCCAATGCCAGGTCCAAGTGGGAGCAGCAGGTCAACCTGGACAGCTGAGGGGCACAGATGCAAGGTCTGCCAGCCATTGCTCCTACAGCATCAGGAGCCAGATACAGGGAACAATTTGCGATCAGCTTCTTTTAATGTACGTATTTCCAAAGTCTCTCATGAAAGTCATAGAAATGCATTGATTATTAATTTCATATTCCTAAATGCAAGACCTCTAAGGGACCGTTCATAATTTATGTCTCTAGGGGGAGGAAGAAATGATGATTGTCATGGAGAAGCATGTACAATGTGAATGACGCCCCTAAAATTTAAGTACAAAGTACTTGCCACCCCCTACCATGTCATGCACAAGGTCATTTACCCACTCACGTCTTTTAACATAAATTAATTAATATTCACTATTTACAAAATTTCTGACCCCCTAGTACATGTGAGCAGTTACTGACAGCCCCCCTACCTCCACAGAACAAAAGGGGTGACCACTCCTTAAAATCATCAACACACACAGACACACACAGACACACACACACACACACACACACACACACACACACACACACACCATTAAATTTTGAAAGGTCCCCAATAAGTACAATGTATATACCCTATACTGTCATTAGTGCCTGTACAATCTATTCTTCTAGTTTATTAATTCTTCTCTTAAGATACTCTCTTTTTAATTTCAAACATTCAATCTCTAATTCCAGTTTTTCTTTCTGTAGTGCCTCCACAGAAGGCTGATGCTGGCACTGACAGGCTGTCTTCTCTGGCAGGTGGTAAATGTTCACCATGTCCTGGACCTCGTCACCGACCATTATAGGGCTACAACAAAATCATGATTTGTAAAATATATAAGAGAATGAAATACATGTTCATAATATTTCCATATCCCGAGCCTTGTGTTTTATGTTCAAACAGTGTCATGTCAGTCATTTCAAACCAAGTGATCCTGACAGGCAGATTGGGAAAGAATGTCAAATTATAATTTCCCCCAAACTGTAGGACTTCATGTAATTCATGCAGGGCAAGATGAACTGATGAAGTACTAAGTGACAAATGTCGAGTGTTGTCTGCTTTAACAACAGTGGAGGCCTGAGTAAGTTCAGTATTTTCAGATAGCTGAACCTTCTGTCATGGAATAATAATTCATATGAAAATTCATTATTAATTATAACCACTACAAGGGATATATAAGGAAAATATAAATATAGAATATTAGATTCATCATGTATCAGTTAGAGAAAGACTCCAGTCAAAAGTAGTAAAACTCATCTCACAGACATACTATTGAAAAAAGTATATGTTACGGCTGCATCATTTCACAGATGTTCAAGATGAATCCTAGCCTAAGGTATCAATGACTCAGCTGTTAGAGAAACCTGACAAAAAAAAAATATTGCAGTGGTTTTAGTGTTGTATAAAACGGATTAATATCAAAATGGATATGGCATGTACCTTTCTCTTGAAGTGATGGCATCAAGCAGTTGCAGGGCAGTGGAATCACACGAGTCTGAGATACCCGTAAGACTTAAGTTGTCCCTTCCAATGGCCTCAACAACTGCATCTGTGACCGGACTGACAGGAGTTGGAGGTGGTCCGCCTCCTGAAAATGCAAAAAAAAAGTAGATTAATTGCTTAAATATGATTATCTTAGGTCAGACCAAACTTATTTCTTTCACAGATTTTTGTCCTCAGAAAACCCAAAGGCAGGAGGTAAAAAAATAAATAAATCACCAGTCAAAGTAATATTCCTTCTAAATACTCAAAGTATCATACTTTTGGCAATTTTTTAAGTGTATATGGGGCAAAAGTCAACCTAAACAAATTTTCTTGTAAGTTTATATATTTGGCCGATAAAAACATTAGGATTTTAGTTTTTGAGCGGGGAAAATTAATTTTTATTTCTTTTCTTATTCTTGAAAAAATACGACAGGCAGATCTGTAAAACCAGAAATAAAATTGGTCTGGCCTTATGTAGAAATATATCACAAACCCAGGAGGTAAGTACTCACTTTACGATGAAACACTGGAATAGAGTAGGTTTATGTTGTAACATGTTATATTTGGCATTACACTTTCTTAGTAAAGTACAGATTCTAGTACTTTTGTTGGCTGGAGTTCCATCCGGGAATCGAACCCATGCCCTCAGAGTCAGGCACCTAAACGCCAGCACACAAAGTCAGCCGCCTAACCCGCTCAGCTGGCGATAGGTGCCTGACTCTGTGGGAATGGGTTCAAGTCCCGGATGGGATTCCAGCCAACAGAAGTACTAGAATCTGTACTTCACTTTAATACTATGAAAGTGTAACATATGTTACATTTGACCACTTTCTTAATGGCATTGTGTAATTATAGGTTTATGTTGGTAGAAAATATTCAGTATATACAAGAACTTACAATGTAGGTCTGGAAATATTGTGAGTGAAACTCTTTTTCCCACTTTCTGACATTTATCACATCATTTATGTAACCTTTTATGACACTTATATTTTGATAACTAATAATAATACTGTAACCATAAACATGCTTACCAGTGGCAATGGTTTGCTGCCTGAACTTGGAATAGGTCTTCTTGGAGGAACTCTTCAAGTTCTTCCATTTTCTTTCCACCTCATCCCTGGTCCTCTTGTGGGTGATGCTTGAATTGAGGGTGTCTGTAATCATCTACAATGTAAACAGAATACATCAAATGGGGAAAAATCCCATCAATTTACATCTAGATATTTAATCAGTGCATAAAAAACTTGACTTTTACACGTGAACTAGTTATCAAGTGCATTTGTGCTCTTATTTAGACAATAATATAAAGAAAAACGAGATGTGTACTGCAGTATTCATTTTCAAAATATTTAATTCTTTCCTAATATTGCCGTAATTTCAGTATGTCAGTAAAATGACGTATGTGGTTTTGCAATTTGTACCGAAAGTCCTAGGGGAATTAATACCCAACAAAACAACAATTGACCACTACATGGGTATGTAAATGTGTGATTATATCAGTCAGGTAATGTGAAACGAATCCATCGTCAGAACAGCCACTAGATCTATCGCGGAGCTTCGAACACGTACCTGCCACGCCTCCTGTCGTTTCACGGAGGTGATGCCAGGCCCAAACTTGCCCTCAAGCACCACTCTGTTGGCCGCAACTAGCTCCGCTAGCAACAGACACTCCTCTTTGTGAAATTAGGGCCGCCTCTTCTTCATTTCATCCGCCATAGTATCCATTCGATGCTGTTCGTGTATCGTTTGCGCTGTCCGGGAATTTCCCCGAGGATGTTTTATGTCTCTCAGTAAAAGAGTTCCACTGGTAGGCTAAAAATAACCGGGATAGTCCCTAGTGATCACGTGATCGCGTTCGGCGAAATGGACTTAGTTTTTGTCGGCGGACTTAGCTAAGTTTCAGACTTAGCCCGTTTGTGAATACCAACTTAAGTTTTGACTTGGCTAAGTCAGTTTTAAGAAACTTAAGTTTTTCTTAAGTCAAAACTTAGTTGTTTGATAAATACGGCCCCAGGTACAAACCCACATGTTTCAAGAACCGTGTATTGGAATCCATGGTCAACCTGGTTGTCAACGCCTGTAATGTGAGGGACACACTTTTAGTTGGTGTGGAAGATTTGCGGTCAGGTAAGTCCACATTTGCATGGGATTTACCCAATGCAGCTTAAGCAAGGTGTCATTTATCTCAGGCCATCACGTTGCCTGCACACATTCCGTGTTCACTTAACCAAAATATTCTCGGGAAGGTACCAGAGGTAGCAACGGTAAAACACTAACAACAGCGAAACGCACGACTTGGCACTAAATATGCAAGATTTCCTTTATTTGAGAGGTCATCATTTTGTCTATGTTCCCAGTGAATCACAATTAGACGTTCAGGTGTATCAGCTAAAGTATCGTTAGTGACAAAGCGTCTGATTTCAGATTGAGTTGAAATATTTTTCTTTTTGGTTGCAGTATCTGCTAGCATGCATCGAAGGACTGCCACGACAAGGGTTCTGTGTGCTTTAGGGGGAGGTGCATGTGCGATCCAGAGTTCACCTACAGTACGTCGGAACAGGCTTGCGTGAGAAGTACGTCATGTGTGATTGCATGCAAAACATGTAAACGCAAGTAATACATTCGTGTTATATAGCCCTTACTCAAGGGGCGATTGTCCATGATTGTATATCTGGCACAGATTTAGCGTATTGGTTCCTGAAGTTTTCTGAGGCTCTATTCGTGTCAACCTTAGAACACGGCTAATACAAGTGTATGCTGTTGTCTATGACAAATGCTTGTGTTTATCTGATTGTGTTCTCACGGAAGTGAAGCGGCACACTAAATGGAGATATAAAAAGTACCTTACTATTTTGAATATTATGGATGGGCTGCTTATTAAAATGGGCAGTTAATTTCCACTGGTTCATGGAATTTCTTGTCCGTGCTCCAAAGTGTATGCATTGTGTAGATCCATTGTAAGGAATTAGTAAATTGTGCATTTAAATTCATCTTGTATCTTGTAAATTCAACAACATGTTAGACTTATGCTATCCCAAGTTTACAACAGATTTAGCAATAGAGTGATGCTATGATTTAGGGTAGGGGTAGGCTTATTAGTCTGTCAAGTGAACGTCTTTGGATTGTAAGCTTAGGAATTGTTCCTCAGTGCCCGAAGGTGCACGATTTACATGTGTTCATTATATGTTACAGAACCTGGTGGGATGCGTCAGCCTTGTGTAATTAAAGACCAATGCTACATTAATGGTTCCGTGTGCTTCAAGGAAAAGTGCATGTGTACCCCAGGTCTCAGCTATCACAAGGCGGAGCAAGCCTGCGTGAAGAGTGAGTAACTAATGATAAAGAAATCAACGGCGGTTTGCGATCAGAATCTCATGGGCAATGTTGATATTTCCCGGTGGCGGTGGGGTAGCCAAGTGGTTAAAGCGTCCGGTCGTCACTCTGAAGACCCTAGTTCGATTCCTCACATATGTACATTGAGTGAAGCCGATTTGTGGTGTCCCCACCGTGCTGGAATATTGCTAAAAGCGCATGACAATATACTCACTAACTCACTGATATTTACCTTATTCCCCTGATATGTATACGGTCTCTCCTCACTGATTACACGAAATTATGATCAGATGCAGGAGCATATTGTTTTCTAAACAATGTGACAGGTGGACCTTTTCAGCAAAAGAGACAATATGGTCTTCTTCAAACAAAGTGTGATGTGTCCTATAAGGCACGTATTTCAATATAAAAACTGTGAAGGATCTTTTTTAGTACTGTTTATTTTCATATAATCATCGAATTGTTAAAAGAAATAGAAATATTAGATACATTTTGGGGAATAGATGAAAATTTTATCATTGGTAGTTTAGATTAGTAACTGAGTTTGTAAGTGGCTGTACCTCCAAAGGGGGGTTGAAGTATTGCACAATTATTGTCCTCCCGAGATGGTACGTAAGTCCCAATGCAATCAAAGAGTATTTAAACCTGTTACTATTTTTAATCGTAGTATATATGCTATTTCAATGTACGGCTAAATTTATCTAAATTGCTAAAAGCTGAAGGCATAGTGAAATCCAGCTAGGGTCCATGCAGGCAGCAAATATACTGTAAGTCCCCATGGTCCTTAGTATGGTGATCCACCTTCAGTTGTTGGCGATCTATAGCCTGTTTGTATACGCGTTCGGTTCCAATTGAAATTTAGTCGCCATCAATTCAGTAAAACATGTCTCTGATTTTCAAACACACTAGGTTTATCTCCTAAAGAATTTTAGATAAATTACTAGTTTTGAATATATATCCGTGATAGTCTAGTTGGTTTTACTGTCTTTCGTCGACAGACATTTTAAATTGATTATCATGTATTTCATCGCTATATGGCTGTAAAATTGCCGATGTGATGTAAAATTTTAACTCACTCACTCCTATAAGGCACTATGATCTGCAAGGCGATACATTTCATATCTCATGTAAACAGTGATCGGTATGGCGATTGATCATTAATGGGTTTTGCTCTTCATTTAAGGTGTTTAACACTTAATACAATAATATAAACAACGAGAATAATATTGCAGGAGGCAAATCAGGTGTGTCTGCATTGCAAAGCTGTTTCCGTTGGGAATTCACACAGCGATTACAACATAATTTTGTTTTCTGTTTAGAAATATCCGTAAGTAGCTGAAGATGAGTAAATGGAAACATAAAAATATTTCTGTTATCTGATAAGATATGATGCTTAAAGAACCGGTAATATTCTCACCCACAAGGGAGGATGGAATACTTCAGAATGGCGGAAAAAATATTTATCTTTATAAATATATATTGTTAGTTTACATTGGAGATGAGAGACCTGGGTCTCCTTTCACGAAGCAACCTTTACTAAGGTTAACCTTAACTCCTATTCTTTAACACTGCACTAAGGTTACCTTAGTGACTTTACGATCACTTTAGTGCTTCGTGAAAGGGACCCCTGAACGTTTTCTTTTCACTTGCCAGTGCAGATACATGTAGTTTTAAGGCTTGCATAGTTTTATTTACATATGTCAGCAACAGACATTAACTCACATGTTTGTGTTTCAGAGTGCAGCACATATGGGAAGACTATGTCTATATATGAAGGGTTGGCCATAGCTTTCCACAACAATGAAGAAAAACACAGGTACTCCCCGAAAAGTGTATCGATAGATGTACAGCTACCACAGACTATTTGTGTTTGAGTGTAGACATGAATCCCGCCCATGCCACCTGCTATCTCTCGAGCGATGGGTATCTTGACGTAAATGAAGGTGACAGAGAAAAGTGGAGAATATGGCTGGCTGTTGGGAACCCGAGATTGCGCATTCCACTGAATATTTCTATCGTTTTCTACTTGTTCAAGTGCTCCCTACATTAGTGTTCGTTGCTGACATCCCTGTTGTATAATGTACAGGCAATTTTTATTTATGAAATGGGGCGTTTAAAATGTGAAATATTAGCATTGTTAGATACGTGCGTCGACTTTGTTGCCATGCTTTTCTGGTATGTCTGACCAAGACTTCACAAGAGAGAAAAGATCTTTGTAGTTTGCTGAGTTTTTCTCACATTATTCTTATCTGTTTGTTGCTTAACTGAAATCTTGAATATTATAGTCTTAATCTAACAGAAGTACACCAATAATCGTATATAACTGTCAGCAAAGAACGTGTTAGAGTACCAAAAATGTTGTTAAATGTAGCACCAAAGGGTATACCTGCTGAATATTTGTCTATCTCGGGTCTATACAGACCGCCAAGAGAAAACCATAATGATGGTAAATTTACAGTGATGCTAGCTGTTTGTACTCTAATGGCTACATAACTTAAAGAACAACTACAGCACTCATGATTAATTATATTAGAAACTGCCTGTTTACAAAGTGCTGTTTATCAGCTGTCCATAGTCCAGTTATATACATGTATCCACGAATCAGGTTGAAAACAGGTAGATGTAGGTACATTTCTAAAATCGGAATGTATTTCAACTCCCATGTTTCAGTGTTTAGCAATTGCTCGATGTCTTAGATCGACAAAGAGTCTTGTACAAATTATAATATAAAATAATTCCTGTAAATGGATATGAGAAAGATTTTATATTGATGTGTGGTCAGCTGATATAGTAGCGGTTTTTTGTTGGTAGTCACACTAGCGGATTTTGCATTAAAAATCAGACTTTTGAATAATTACTCCTATTATTTTGACATGTTGATTCTGATATTAGAAACATCATAATCATTTCAACACCATTGTCAGGAACTGATCGATCTAGTAACTATGGATACCGATATTATCACGTGACCTGGACACTTATCTGCATCAGCGATTAGTGTTCACCATATATCTATGTTGGCCTGTAAACTCCTTACTGTTCTTGTTACCCACAGCCTAATACAACCAGATCAATCTTATCTGTACTTAATTGGCTTCTCTTCCGTGAATCGCATTTGCTCGTCATCATGTTG